TGAAAAAGTAATACATACACAGCTTGCATTTTTATTTAATTAGGAAAAATTATTCCTGTGAATGTAACAGAAGGATAGTTACCAAACTGTTAAGTAATTAAAGGGAGAGAGTTATACTATTTTCTATAATTTTATATACTTATTATATTGTTGCAGAAATTATGGATTATCTTTTATAATTAAAAAGTAAAAATAGGCCACCTTTTCCTCCTGAACATGTAAAGTCTTTTCAACATCAATGGCCATAAATGTATGAAAAAACTGATTTTTAGGCAGTGGACAACAGGGAGTATAAGATCATAATCCTTGGACTGGGGTTGTGGCTTAATGGTATAGTGCTCACCTAGCATGTGTGAGGCACTGGGTTTGATCCTTAGCACCACATAAAATAAACAAACAAACAAGTAAAAAAGTCATTGTGTCCATCTACAACTTAAACAAACAAACAAACAAACAAAAAAATTTTGGTCCTTAAGAAAAAACCCATGAAATCAGCCTGTGATCATCCTAACCATGACATACAAAGCATAATCTCAAGCTAATTATGCTGGATCTGATGATCTAGGAGGCAGACAGCAGAATTTGAGGCAAAGTGGCTGGAATCTGTGAGTAAGAAAATAGATAGGAAAAGGTATGCAAAGAATGGGCATAAAGTTCATGTGAGAGCATTTAGTGACGATGGTAGTGAACTGTGGTTCCTTGGGCTAGGGTTGTGGCTCAGTGGTAGAGTGCTTGCCTAGTACATGTGAGGCACTGGGTTCAACTGTGTCCAAACTAGCCAATCCCACCAGAGGCTTTCCAGAGTGCAGCTGGGGATGAGTGTGGAACACGGAGCTATCAGAGGTCCAGCACAGCTGGGGAAAGAGCAGTACCCGAGGATGAAGGAACCAGAGTTCTGATACTACCAGAGTGCAGAGATTTTAACACTGATAACATTCAGTATCCAGCTGAGATTCCAGAGAGGCCACACTTTAGGAGTAAGGGCTACAGCCCTAAAGTTAGACCTAATCTTAAATGTATATTAGTAGAACCCCAAACCAAGCCTAAAACAAAAAATTGCACAGACAGGCATTGGAGTTTGACTACTGTCAAGTTATTAAGGCTTGGGAAATATCCCAGATTTCTATATATCTTCACTAATAAGTTTAGGATGATCAGGTAGTACTTTATCAGCTAAAATTTAAAAACAAAACAAAACACCACTCTTCAGAGGAAGATAACAAGACTCAGAATCTTTATAGTCTGATGTACACGACATCTACTAATTAAAAAAAAATTACTAGACACAAAGAAACAGGAAAATGAAATCCATGTGTGACAAAAAGCAAATGTGAGATGGCCCAGATGTTGGCATTAGCCAACAAAGACTATAAGCAGCTATTATAAACATGTCCAAAATACCAATGAGAAGGATGTTCAAAGAATTAAAGGAAAGTATAGTCTTAGTAGTGAATAGGAAATGTCAGCAAAAAAAAAAAAAAAAAAAAAAATTATAGAAAGAACAAAACATAAATTTGTGAGCTAAAAAGCAAAACAATAAAATAGAAAATTTCGCTAGATGATAATGAATCACTCTATTATGTATAATTATTATAATGTATCAATAAAATTTTTTTTGCTAGATGAACTGGGTTTGCTGGTGTATTGTATGCTTATAATCTCAGTTATCTGGAAGGCTGAGGCAGAGGATGCCAAGTTTAATGCCAACATTGGCAACTTAGTGAGAGAGACCCCTTTAAAAAAAAAATTAAGAAAGGGTCAGAGATATAGCTCAGTGGTAGAGTACTTGACTAGCAGATATGAGACCCTGGGCTCAATCCCCTGTAACTATACTCCCACAAAAAGTAGAACTCAGTGAACTTGAAGGGAGATCAATAGAAATTAAGAAATCTGAAGAACAGGGACAAAAAACACCATTTATGTACAGGAGTCTTGCAGATCGGTGCGACTATATAAAAATGTCTAATATGCATATAATTGGAATGCCAAAAAGAAGACAAGGTAATTGCAGCACAAAACAGAATAATGTCTGAAAGACATCCCAAATTTATTAAAAAACATCAGCTTACATATTTAAAAGGCTCAGTGGATATTAACCAGAATAAATATAAAAAGAAATATGCCTGGGTTGGGGCAGTAGCTCAGTGGCAGAGTGCTTGCCTAGCATGTGCAAGGCACTGGGTTCGATCCTCAGCACCACATAAAAATAAAACAATAAAGGGGGCTGTGGCTGTGGCTCAGAGGTAGTGCACTTGCCTGGCATGTGTGAAGCACTGGATTCAATTCTTAGTACCGCATATAAATAAATAAAATAAAGGTCTATTAACAACTTAAAAAAAAAAAACAATAAAGGCATTCGGTCAATTTACAACTACAAAAAATAAAAATAAAAAAGGAAGTATGCCTAACATATATCTTAATCAAATTTTTGAAAACCAATGTTAAGAAAAAATTTGAAGCAGTCCAAATAAAACATTACAAAGAGGGACATAAGAACAACTGCTAACTTCTTATGAGAAAACAGTAAAGCCAGGTGACAACAGAACCACATTCTGAAAGTCTGCTGAAAGGAAAAACAAAAAATAAAACTTTAATCCACAATTTTATATCTGGCTTAAAAAAATGCAAATGAAAACCTTAAAAGATGAAAAGAAATAGAGACGTTTTTAGATAAATAAAGGCTATGCGAATTTGTCACTAGCCATCCTGATGATGTCCTGTAGGCTGAAGACAAATGGTATGGAAACTTGATTTTACAGACTAGAATGAAGAACACCAGTAAATAATTGGATAAATATAAAAGTCTATGTTTATTTTTCTTTCACATTTCACTTAAAAGACAATGAACTGTTTGGCAAAAATAGTAATGTAGCATAGCAAGGTTTTTAACATAGGAAAACTAAAAGATATCTGCACATAACAAGACAAGGAAACAGAATTAAACTATTCTTGGAGTGTGAAGCAGAAAGCATAAATATGAAGTGTAGAGAGACACAATACTGACTCTAATTCTAGGCTGAAAAGTCAAGGATCCTAACTGTTAGCCCTAGAACAATCATTAAAAAATAAAAAGATGACAAAAGCAGAAATGAAATATAACACTAAAACTATTGAAGACATCTGCATGACCTTGGGGGCAAAGCAAAGATTTCTAAGACAAAAGAAACTAATTATAAAGAAAATATATGAAAACCTGAATTTCATCAAAATAAAACATTTTTGCTGTTCAAGGCTGTATAAACAAATAGAAAAGCAAACCAGCTACAAACTCCAAGAAATATTCACAGAACATATCTAAGTGTTTGTGCCCAGAATATAGAAAGAATTTTTGTAACTCAAAAAAACAAAAAACTCACCACAATGTTTAGAAAAGGCCAAAAGATTTGAAAATTTCTCAAAGACATAATCCCGACTTATGATGGTTCAAATTAGAATTTTCAAAATTATGATGGTGAGAGAGCAACACACTAGGTAGATTTTGAATTATGATATTTTCCCACACTGGTGATAAAAAAAAAAAAAAAAAAGCCTGATAGTATACTGCTGCTGCTACGCTATAATGTTCAGTAGATTAGGTTTATTAAGTACATTTTTTATATAGAATATTTTCAAATTACAATGGGCTTATTGGGACATAATTTCTTATAAGCTGAGGTGTTTCTATATATGAAATGGCAATAAACCCACAGAAATGTTCATCATTCAAATCAGAGACATTCATCAATAATCATTACTCAAATGCCACTCAAAACTGAAATGAAGGGCTAGGGGTTGTGGCTCAGTGGTGGAACGCTTGCCTAGCATGTGTGAGGCACTGGGTTCAATTCTTAGCACTACATTAAAAAAATTAAAATAAAGGCCTTATGTCCATCTACAACTTAAAAAAAAAAAACAAAAAACTGAAATGAAGCCAGGTACAATAGTGCGCACTTGTAATCCCAGTGGCCTGGGAGGCGGAGGCAGGAGGATCACAAGTCCAAAACCAGGCTCAGCAACTTAGCAAGACCCTGCTCAAAATTTTAAAAAATACATATTTTTAATTAAAACAAAACAAAACAAAAAAGGGCCAGGGATGTTGCTCAGTGGTTAAGCTCCCTTGGCTTCAATCTTTGGTACAAAACACAAAACAAAACAAAAATTGAAATGAAGGTGGGCTTGATGGCACACACCTGTAATTCCAGGAGGATACAAGTTAAAGGCAAGCCTAGGCAAATTAGCAAGATGTTATCTTAAAATAAAAAAATTTAAAAAAGGTCTAGGGATGTAGATCAATGGTAGAGCAACCCAGATTCAATCCCCAGTACCGCAAATAACAACATACCACTGACCAAAAAAAAAAAAAAAACTCCTAAAGTTAGATGCTATTTACTTACAAGAATGGCTAAAAATTAAACAATCAAAACATAAACATCCCACATGTCCATCATCAAATGAATGGATAAAGTGTGATATATCCATAAGATGAAATATAATGCATTAATAGTGGAAATGAATTACTGAAAAACGGAGATGGCATGGATGAATTTCATAGACATTAAGCTGAGCAAAAGGAAAAAGACATAAAAGTACATACTACAAGATTACATTTATAGGAAATTCTTCAACAGACAAGTCTAATCTATAGCAAGAATAATTAGACCAATAGTTGGCTGAGGCAGAGTGGGACAGAAGACAGGTGAACTTGTGAACATTTTGAGGAGAAGGAAAAATTCTATATCTTGATTGGGATAGTCATTACACAGTGGTTAACATCAATGCATAAATATTGTAATTATATATCAATAAGCTGATTAATAAAAGTAAAGGTATTAACTATAATTGTTTAAAATACTTTTTTAGTTGTACATAGACACCATAGCTTTGTTTATTTTTATGTGGTGTTGAGGATCAAACAAACTGCCTCATGTGCTAGACAAACACTAACACTGACCTACAACCCAAGCCATAATTTTATATCTATAAAATTATTAAACAATGCATTATTTTACATATTTGAGAGACTGATTATATTAGTTAAAAAAATAAAGGAAGAGACAGGAAGTACTGAGATTATGGGCAGTAGTTTTTTCTCTAATTATAGTACATCCTCCTCTAATTTCAATTTTATTTTTAATTGTGGTCCATATTTATTAAGGTCTGAGCCAAAGATTGTTTATATGTACATATGTAGGTAGGTTGATAGGCAGATTCAGTTTTTAATCTACCGGTCATTCCCATCAACCAATTCCGAGCATCACTATTTATATAAGCAATCCTGACTGTCCTGACTTTCTGGTCCTTAGATGCTACATGTCCTGACTTTCTGGTCCTTAGATGCTACATGACCACTATTCTTAGATTTTTGCACTTTGGCTGCATGTCAAAACAGGTGTGCCATGAGAAAGATGTGAGTAAACTTAACCTGTCCTAATCCATTCATATGAACTTTTACTTCCTTGCTCATTTCAGAAACTATCCTGGGAAATCAGATGATCTTCCTCAAACCAAGTCAAAAGTTTCCAAGTTGCTGGTGAAAACTCAAGCTTCCAGTGAAAATAAAACTATCAAAGGCAAGAGAAGAACTGTAAATACTGAGTTAATATGTTTGTTCAATCACTCTACTACTGTATTTATATATATTAAGAGTGTGTGCTCTAGACTTAGATTGCCTGGATTTGATTCTATCATTCTTAGCTGTGTCATCCTGGGTAAGTTCTTTCCTATAGCAAAAATTCCCACAGGGCTTTTGTGAAATTTAAATGAAATAATGTAAAGCTTATCACATAGTGCCAAACACATAAGGACACCAAGTGTCATTTATATAGTTCAGAGTCTTCTAGGAAAGGAGACCATCCAGACATGCGACTCTTCATATATATTCAGGAAAGATATATTCATAGCATTCTGAATGTAAATTTTTTTTTTTTCTGAAGAGCTCAGAAAAGCTGTCTGGCAAAATGGAGGTAAAGCATGTGAACTCTCAGGTAATATGATTATAATTCTAAAGTTACAGATAGTATTAGAAAAACTACTTATACCTGAGGTCTTTATTTTCATGGGCACAACAATCTTCGCCTAATTGTTACAACTTCAGCATCCACCAAGTTCCTAAAAGTAGAGATTCTTAATGGTGTGGAATCCAGACCATTTAGCATGAGGTGTGAACTTATTAGAAATGCAATTTTCAGTCTCTCCTCCTCCCCCAAATCAGCAACTCTCAGGCTAGGGCACAGAAATTGGTGAGGTTTTGTTTATTTTTTGCAGTACTAAATATTGAACTCAAGGCCTCACACATGCTAGACAAGTGCTTCACCACTGACCTACATCTCAGTTCTTTTTTTTTTAAATATTTATTTTTTAGTTGTAGTTAGACACACACCTTTATTTCACTTGTTTATTTTTGTATGTGCTGCTGAGGATCGAACCCAGTGTCTCGCACGTGTGAGGCGAGCACTTTACCGCTGAGCCACAAGCCCAGCCCATCCCAGCTTTTATTTTTTTATTTTTTTGGTACCAGGGATTGAACCCACATCCCCAACCCTTTTTATATTTTATTTTGAGACAGGGTCTTTCAAGGTTGCTTAGAGCCTCCCTAAATTGCTGAAACTAACTTTGAACTCACAATCCTCCTGCCTCAGCCTCCACAGCAGCTGGGATTACAGGTGTGTGCCACCACACCCGGCATTACAGCTCTTTTAAAAAAATTTTGAGACAGGATCTCGCCCAGCCTGCCCTTGAATTTGGAGATCCTTTTGCCTTAGTCTCCTGAGTGATTGGTTTTACAGGTGTGTGCCACAGTGCCTGGCCTATAGTAAGTTGACTTTAAAAAAAGAAGTAGGAAGCAGTTTTCTCTGCCCCAGAAACTGGAGTTTTAATAAGCCCTCCACAAGATTTTGATGAATAGCAAAATGTGAGAATTACTATCCTAGAATAAAAGAAAACACCTAATCACTGACCTATCCACAGTACGGTAAAAAAAACTGAGTTCCCCATTTGGTTAATTAGATTTATAAATTAAACGAAAACTGATATAATCTGAAAGAAGTGGAATAAACAAAAGTAGTAATTAATAATACTATAAATTTATAAATTACTAGGGTGAGAGGTGAGAGAACATAAGAAAAGTGAGGGCCGTGCTGGGGTTGTGGCTCAGCGGTAGAGCGCTCGCCTTGCATGCACGAGGCTCTGGTTTCAATCCTCAGCACCACATAAAAATAAATAAGTGAAATAAAGGTATTGTGTCCAACTATAACTAAAAAAATAAATATTAAAAAATAAAGGAAGGAAGGAAGGAAGGAAGGAAGGAAGGAAGGAAGGAAGGAAGGAGAGGGCCACAAAGAGGTGGGTGGAGAGAAATAACTTAATATAAAATGACAGTGTGTGAGGGCCACTGGCAAAACAAATCATTAAACAAAGGTTTTTAATTATAACTAAAGGGAGAAAAGGCAAAAAATAAGCCTGAATTCATAATGTTTTCTTGCTAAAAAATCAAAGGACTTTTCAAAACACTGTATGATTCTTATTTTAACTATCCCTGGCAAGGGCCCATTGGCTCAAATAGGCTAAAGAGAAGGAAATAAGAGTTCATAGTTTCTGAATATTTAGCTGGAAATGATTTTTCTTTACATACCTATGGACTCATAAGAAGGGGAAGGTAAAGAGAAACTATCTTAAAGAGGTAAAAACAAACAAAAGATCTTACCCAGCATGATGCAACAAAGGAACATTTCTTATTGCCTACTTAATAAAGTATCAACAACTCTCTCTTCAACATGTCTCTAAATTCTAATCTCATTCAGTATAAAAACAAAATATCTCCTGTAGAAAGTAACCAGAGAAAGTTCAAGTCATTCATAAACACTCTTACAATTTATGGGGGGAGGTGGGGAGATAAGTATTCCAGTGGTAAAATGGGCAAAGAACGCAAGGTAATTTATAATAAATACAATCCAGTACACAGAGCCAATAAACACAGTAGTTTTTTAAAAACCAACATTATTAGTAATCAGGGGCTGGGGTTGTGGCTCAGTGGTAGAGTGCTTGCCTAGCATGTGTGAGCACTGGGTTAGAGTCTCAGCATCACATATAAAAAAATATTTTTAAAAAACCAACACTATTCGTAACCAAATGAAAAGTGCAACAATGAGATGCCATATTTTTGCCCATAACTGGCAAAGTTACAAAAGTTAAACCACATTGGTAAGGAAGTTAGAAAACAAATACCCTCTTTTTTTTTTTTTTAAACACGGTTTAAACAGCTATATATTGTTTGGAGGACAATTTGATTTTATCCTGAAAAGTCTTCAAAATGTATCTACCCCCTCTGACCTTGTAATTCCACTCAGCTGGGCTCTGTGGCACATGCCAATAATCCCAGCAGGTCAGGAAGCTGAGGCAGGAGAATAGCAAGTTCAAAGCCAGCCTCAACAACTTAGAAAGGGCCTAAGCAGTTTAGCAAGCACCAAACAAAAAGTTAAAATAAAAAAAAAAAAGGCTGAGGATGTGGCTCACTGGTTGAGCATCCCTGAATGAATCCCTAGGTTCAATCCCTGGTAGCAAAAACAAACCAAAACAAAAAACCCTAAGAGACAGGCAAAGATTTGTGTATGAGGCTGCCTGAGACGATATCATTCATAAAACAAAAAAGTCAGTACAAAGATACATACAATGATATGTATTTCCTAAAATAAATAATGATTGAGGACTAAACAAATACTATGATATAGCGCTATAAGCTATGCAGTCACATGCACATATTTTACAGATGATAAGTATATGTTTGTTTGTTTTTCCCCTTCCTTTTAGATGAGGTCTTAGTATGTTGCTCAGGTTGGTCTTAAATTCCTGGGCTTTATGACCCTCCTGTTTCAAGCCTCCTGAGTAGCTAGGACTACAGTCACATGCCATCCCATCCAGCTCAGTTAAGGTTTTGTGGTATTGAAAATCACAATATGAACTCAACATCTTTCTCCCAAGACAATGTCCTTCCTTCCGATCCTGTCCCCATATCTACCTATAATGCTGGTGGTATTTCAATGAAAAAAAAAAAAATGCATGTAAAGAGCTCAGCACAGTGCCTGAAAAAGCATAATTTTGTTATTATTATGGTTCGATTACTTTCTCCAGAACTTAAGAACATATTGTGGCAGAAAGGGCAGAGTTTTATTTATTTTTCCTGGAATATAATTATTTTGCCTGGACACGGTTTTATTTATTTTGCTTTCAGGATTGTTATTCTGCTGGACATGGTGGCACACGCCTTTAAACACAGCTACCTAAGAGGCTGAGGCAGGAGGATTGCAATTTGGAGGCTAGTCTGAGCCACTTAGCAAAACCCTATCTCAAAATAAAACAAAAAAAGGGCTGGGAGCTGTGCGCGATGGAGCAAGCCTGTAATTCCAGCTCAAGAGGTGGAGGCAGGAGGATCTCAAGTTTAAAGCTAGCCTCAGCAAAAAACAAGGCAATTCATTGAGACCCTGTCTTTAAATAGGGATGTGGTTCAGTGGTTGAGTGCCCCTGAGCTCAATCCTCACTACCCACCACCCACCAAAAAGGGGGCTGAGAATGTAGCACAGTGGTACAGCGCTTCTCTGGCATGTGTGAGACCCTGAGTTCAATCCTCAACATTATCCCCCTGCACTATACCCTCTGAAAAAAAAAAAACCCAGTCATTCCAGGGCTGAGGTTTTAGTTCAGTACTAGAGATGCTGCCTAGCATATGTGAAGTCCCTGGCACCATGAAAAAAATCTTTTTTTAGAAGATAGATAATCTACTCCTCTTTTTAAAGCATATTACACACATACAGAAGTAGAAGACTCGGCTGGGGATATGGCTCAGTAGAACAGTGCTTGCCTGACATGTGCAAGGCCCTGGGTTCAAACCCCAATACTGCTGAAGAAAAAATAAATAGAATACTGTTCTGGACTCAATATAGCCCTTATTCAGATTCAACAATGATCAATGTTTAGCTTATTACCCCCACATTTATAGGTCTATCTGCCCCACCCTGCCAAATTATTTTGAAGTAAATCCTAGATATCTAGTCATTTATTAGAACATGGTTTATTTACTTATTTTTATTAGTATTATTGTTGTTGTTGTTGTTATTATTATTATTCTGGGAATTGAACCCAGGGGCGCTTATCCATACAGCCACACCCCCAACCCTTTTTATATTTTATTTAGAAACAGGGTCTCACTGTGTTGTTTAGGGCCGCCCTAAATTTCTGAGGTTGGCTTTGAACTTGTAATCTTCCTGCCTCCGCCTCCTGAAGCTGCTGGGTTACAGGCATGAGCCACCATACCCAGCAGAACATGGTTTATTTTCATTTTTGTGGTACTGGGGATTAAACCTAGGGATGCTCTATGACATAGCTACATCACCAGCCGTTAAATTTTTTTTTTTTTTTTTTTTTACTTTGAGATGGGTTCTTGCTAAGTTGCCCATGCTGGCCTCACACTTGTGCTCTCTTATGCTCAGACAGAACATGGGTTTTGAAGTTATACAAACAAGGGTTTTAATAAAATGAAGGTACTCAAACTTAGATGGCAGGTTTATCGAGAAGAAATATGGTATGCCATACTTAGCCCAGGGATTGACACATGATAGGTAGATGATTATTTTTCCTTGCCATGGAGAAAATTAAAGCAAAACAAAAAGAAAAGAAAGATGAGTTAACACCTTATATAGGAGTGAGAGAGTCATACAACAATCTAGGGACAGAGCACTCCAGGTGAAAAGGGGAGTAATTGCAAAGACCCTTAGGTATGAGCACTGGGTTTGCTTAAGATACAGCAAGGATGTCAATGTGACCAGAGTATATTTGGAACAAGGAGAGCAGTAGGAGCTGAAGACAGAGAAGGTGGTGAAGGTGCACTCAGATCACGGAGGACATCAAAGGCTATTGTTAAAACTTTGACTTTTCAAGAAAGAACAGCCACTGGAATCGGGTGGCTGAGGCAGGAGGATTGCAATTTTGAGGCCAGCCTCCATAACTTAGGGAAGCCCTAAGCAACTTAGCAAGATGCTATCTCAAAATTTTTTAAAAATAAAATAAAATAAAAAGGGCTGGGGATGTGACTCAGTGGTTAAGCACCCCTGGTTCAATCACCAGTGGAAAGAAGGAAAGAAGAAAGGAAGGAGGGATGAAAGACGAAAGAACAGCCATTGGAAAGTTCTGAAGAAAACCGCTATGATTTATTATGTGTGAAAAGATCATTCTAGTTGCTATGCTATAAACAGCCAAGAGTAGGAAGAGGGAGAACCACAGAAACCAGTTAGAAGGTATTTCTATGAATGGAACTAGGGTGTAGTGGTAAGAAAGAGTTGTATCTGCAGGTATAAGGTAAAGAAGACATGAGTTGCTGATGGATTAGATATAGAAGTGTGAGAAAAAGAAGAGCCAAGAGTAACCCCAAGATTTTGACAGGAACAAGTCAATAATCAATGCCACCATTTACACAGGTGGGGAAGAATGAAGGAAAACCGGGTCTGTGGCTTAGAAAGTGAAGTGGAATGTGGAGATGTTACATTTGTTGTACTTGTTTCAGTTCCTGAAGTCTCAGTGATCTGCAACTGCCTCCTGGGCATTCTGGTCATCATTCCCACTGGCTGAGGGTGGACTGGGGTGTTGTGTTCTTTAGCCAGATCCTATGTTTGGTACCTAACACTATAGCTGGGACTGCTGATGGATGGGTGAAGATGGGGTATGGGAAGCCTGAAGCAGGTGAGGACTCTTCCCTTGTCCTACATTGAAAGACAGGTAACTCAACAGCCATCCTAAAATCACCCTGTGGAATCAAGACCATTTTGTGATCTCTCTCTCTCTCACACACACACACACAAAAAAAAAAAAAAAAAAAAAAAAGTACAAGGATGCTGTGTCCCAAGCCATGGTTATCCAGTTTCCCTTCTAACTTAGTATCTTCCAAAGAGTACAAACAACTTGTTAGCCATCCTCAGCCCCACATGCAACACATGCACATTATTATCCACTGAGACCAGAAGAACAGAGTTTCACTCTTAAGTTTTTGCTGAAAAGGCTTAAAATGAGTATTCCTCCAAAGAAAATGATATTCCTCAAATCCATTAAACATTAATGTATCCAAAAAGTAGGATTTTTGACAGTACTAGGGATTGAACCAAGGGGCACTTTACTACTGAGCTACATCTCCAACCCTTTTTATTTTTTATTTTGAGATAGGGTCTCACTAAGTTGCCCAGGCTGGCCTCCAACTTCTGATCCTTCTGCCTCAGCCTCCTGAGTAGCTGGAATTACAGGTGTGTACTACTGAGCCCATTGAGTATGTTTTTTTCCTTTTCATATTTTTTTTATTGGTACACTACAGTTGTACATCATGGCAGAAGTCTTTATTACATATTTGTACATGCATAAAACTTAACAATATAATTTGGCCAATATCATTCCCCAGTATTTCTCCTTTTCCTTCCCCGCATCTCCTCTACTCTATTGATCTCCATTTGATTTTCATGACACCCCCCCCTTTTTTTCCTCTCTAGCTTCTACATGAGAAATAACATACAACTCCTAACTTCCTGAGTTAGGCTTTTTTTGCTTAACATAATATTCTAAAGTTCCATTCATTTCCCTGCAAATGACATAATTTTATTCTTCTTTATGGCTGAAATAAACTCCATTATGCATATATACCACGTTGTCCTTATCTATCCATTCACTATGACACCTGGACTGGTGCCGTAGTTTGACTATTGTAAATTCTGCTGCTATTAACATGGGTATGCATGTATTGCTATAGCCTGCTGACTTTAATTCTTCAGGATAAATACCAAGGAGTGGTATAGCTGAGTCATATGGTGGTCTTTAGAGAAACTGCCATACTGATTTCTATAGTGGTTGTACTAATTTACAGTCCCACCAACAATGTAAAAGTTTGTTTCTTTTTCTCCACATCCTCTCCAGCACTTATTGTTTATATTTAATACTTTTGTACCGTTTGCTATTCTAATTGGAGTAAGGTGAAAGCTTACCTTTGTCCCCTAATATACATTTTATCTAGGTCAAAAGACTTCCTCCTGAGAAGCGATTTGTGGTCTCCTCCCCAAAAGCATCTCTCCCAGCAAGATGTGGTGCTAAGAACTGTGCAAGAAGTCAGACACAGGGTGCTCCTGTCTTCAGCACAGGATACTACTCCCAAGTCTGTAGCTGCTACTTCCCCAGCGGAGTGAATGCTACATAGGAAAAGTAGAGTAGTCTGGACTGCCCTACTCTCTACCTGGCTGAAGACCCAACTGTTAAGCAGAGACTAGAGCTCCACAGTCCCCACCAGTGCAACAGGGAATGGATTTTGTTTTCTATAAACAGACAAGAAAAAGTATTCAAGTTAAACACAGCCCTTAGAGAAAGGAATATAGAAACCAGGCGGCGGGGAATGCTTCATATTCCTAAAAGCTTTTTTTGTAAGTTAACACATGGTGTCTGCTTCTCTCTAGTCACCTATTTATCACTCTCCTCCTTAGAGAAGGGAAAAAGCCCTGGCTGTTTTCCTAGTGCAGAGTTTTGTGGCTGGGGGAAGAAGGAAGGGGGCGGGTAGGAAGGAGGGTGCTTTAAGCATGATGCAAACCATTTGGAGCTGAGTGAGAGCACTGCCAACACAAGCTGCACTATTTAAACAAGTGAGGAAATGATCGTATATACAACATGCCAGCAAGCGCGCGCGCACACACACACACACACACACACCAAAGGAAGTCGAAGGGGCTTTTTTTTTTTTTTTTTTCAAAATACAGAACTGGATGTCAGTGGCTAAAAGGTCGATATTTTCCCTTAACACCCTTCTCAGTGACTTAATCATGTTCCGTTTGCACAGAAAACTTCCCAAGAATAAAAAAAGTCTGGAGAATTAAGAGGAGGGGTGAACAGGGAGGGAAGTTTGGCCTAGGGCTGACCTTATCCGAGGTTTTCTCCACGTAGCAGGGGTCCTGAGGGGCAGCCAGCAAGGGGACAAAGCCCGAGAGAAGTCGATCCTCTTCCAGGATAAGAAGGGTGAGGTCATCGTCCGGGTCCTTGTACAGTGGCACCTCAGACTGATTCACCGCAGTCAATATGTTACAGAAATCAGCCAGTGTTGACCACACATCCACAGCAACCCTGTGAGAAATAAGGTCAGAAAAGAAGAGCAGCTCTAAAGAGAGACCAATAAAAGTATTCTCAGCACTCATGAGCAGAAAGGTTCTTGTAGCAAAAGTTGTCCAGGCTGGCAGCTGCCAAGAAATCATACCAAGAATGCTAGGATATGAAATTGTGCCCATGGCAGTAATCTAGGGTGTGTGTATATCCCTCCATGCAAAGCTGAAACTGTTTAGGGGGAGTTTTTAATCCTAACCAGAGAGGAGAAAGACTTTGGAGGATCAGTTGCCTAATGCAGGTCCTGTCACCTTTCCAGACAGTGTGCTAAGACACTTACTCAAACACTCTAGACACCCAGTGCCTGAGGCAGCTCCCAGAATTCCCCCTCCCATGGAGCCAAGTATATGCCACACAGATAGCAACTGGGCACCAGCCTCCCTCCACCCATAGCTACATGGGGTCCAGTCACTGAGGAAAGTCATGTGGGTGTTCCCCTTACGATGCTTTAGAAATTTTCTCCATAAGTGGGAAAACAAACACACATAGATCTAACAAACAAACAAACAACAAACAAAACAAAACAAACAAACAAAAAACCTCATTCCTGGCCTGCCAAGATCTGTCCAGGAAGATACAGCCTTTCATACATTTTAGCAGATGAACCACTATCAGTGCTGTCTTGACTATCCCACACCTTCTCCTTTCTCCTCTAGCTACATTCTGGGACTGTCCTGGTTTTAGCACTGGAAATATCACATCTCCCCAAATCCTCCAGTTCTGAGCAAACCAAAATGGTTGGTCATCCTCATTGCATATCACCAGGGCCTGGGTGAATGAGAAGAAACACTGAAAATACAAAATTTGGCTCTCCCCATTTGAAATTCCAAGTTAGAATTTTAAAAAGAGAATTTGTTCTATCCCACCATCACTTGTCAGTATGCGCAGTCATCTACTGTGGTTCAGATTCCTGCTTTGGTGGGTGTTAAGAATCCATTCAAGCTTTTTTAAAAAAAATATTGGACCACCTAGGGATACCTCAAATTTAGTCAGATGAAGTGCCTGACAAATGTATAAGACTTGGGTTTCTCCTCCAGAAAAAAACTTTAACCTGAGAATATGCAACACATAATAAGCAGGGGGAGGGAGGGGAGGGGGAGAGAGGAGGGGAGAGAGAGGAGAGAGGGAGGGAGGGAGGGATCTCGCTAGTGCGTTATAAGCATCATCCTGGAATCTCCCCTGGGGAGTTACTGTGCATTATCCCTACCTGCCAGGGAGGGGACCTCAGACCCTTTAAGCAATTTGTTTCTCCTGAAGATTAGAAATCTTTGGAAAATGGCAGAAAAGAGGGGATTCAAAGGATATACCACTGAAGGTAACGTTAGGGGAGAACGTGGGGGAAAGGTACAGGAACTCCCTGACTGGCCCCAGGTGGAAGGAGGCTACACTGGTTTATTTACTGTAATCACTGCACTAGGAAAAGGCAATGAAATGAAACATCTTGTTTTCAAGAGTGTCCTGGGAACCAGGCGGAACACAGCCCCATTAATCACACAACGGCACATAATCAACACACGTGTACTGCAGAAGTAACTTGCTTCACAGGCTTTGCCCAGGAAAGAGAATATGTTTGGGAAGAATCATCAGTGGGATAAGAATCTTCTAAAGCTTCTCTCTCCACTGACACCGACAACCAGACTCATTCACAAAGCTCCATCTTTTGGCTCAGCTGGGTTTGGCTGTCAGAAATGTTTAAATATGGAAAAAAATAAACAGTTGCAACACGTTTCTGTGCAGAGATCTGCCTGAGCCCCTTTGTGATGTAATGGGAAACGCCACATTCAGGCTACCAGCTGTAGAATAAACAGAACTTTGAGGGTTAAAAGGAACTGAACTTTCCACGACCCCATCTGCAGAGAAGAAAATAATAAGAGGAATGATGCACTGCCCCACAGCTCTGATAGTTTATCCTCCGGTCCCGGCTGCAGAGACAAGCACCGGATGTGATAGGGCTGCTCAGGGCCGCCTCCGAGGTTAGCGCTGCCCATGGGAGACACACAGGGAGGCTCTTCCAGTTCCCCACTTCCTCCCCCAGTGCCCTGCTGGCCACTTGAGCCCATTGCCTGAGTTCAATCCCACAGTGCTGGTAAGCTTTGGCCAACAGACATTGCTCGGCTGCAGAGCAGCAATTTGGAAAATAAACAGGAAAGACGACAGTGAGAAGGAAGAAGGTGAAAAGTCTCCCAGCTGAATTCTTGGCTTGGGGACCCTGGCTGGTGCTGTGCAGGTCAAGGTTGTTGCAGGACATAGTTAGGGGGTGCGGTGTGAGTGCAGGCAGCAGGAGCCCCAGCCAGAGAGAGGCGGCAGAAAATCACCCACTGCTGCCACAGTGGGAGGCCCCACATCCCTCTCTCATCCTCCCACCCCTACCATCTTGGATCCAAGATGAAGAAATATGTGGTACCATGTGGTTCTCATTACCCTGCTCTCCTGTCCCCTAAGGCTCAGATAAACCAAAACTGACTCCTCCCAGAGATTGCTGGCCACCACTAGGGACCCCTGCCCACATCTGCCTTTTGCCCATTACCACCCACCTTGTGCCAAAACCTTAAGGCTCACTGCAAAATAAGGTGGATGAGAATTCCCACCCTAATGTTCTCTTTGTAAGACAGCAGCTGGTGCCAAAAGACATAGGAAGTGCCTTGAGTTCCCAACTCAGAAACACAAATAAAAGTGGACCAAGGGTCAAGTTAGACTGATCGGAATCAAGGGAATACACAAAATGCTTCAATGAAAGGTCACTTTTGCCCTGGTCAATGCAGCCTGATCTTGTATCTGAACTGAGTAGCTATTTTCTTCTGGTATCTCAACTCTTTGCAGAGGTACAGACATAGAGAGTGTCAGGAAACTAATATTAAAAGGGAGAGGTCCTCTGAAAATCTAGGTGAGATGCCTGAACTCATAAGGTAATTCCTGGAACTCTGGCAACGTCACCTCAGCTTACCCCAATCAGACCTCTGGGCGGGGAGGTCAGTTACATGGTCAGTTTCCTGTCTGAGTGGAAAGGGAAAAGCTTAGCTTTGTCCGGCTTTAGTTCCTTATTCCAACCAGAAACACCTTCTAACCTTCACCCCACAGCAGTCCTTGGACCCTCAAGATTCAAAGTTGGCTAAGTAACTCAAAATCAAATTCTTCTGGCTATGAAGGAGCTTTATACAGCTCCCAATCTTCTGGAAAGGCTTGGACAATGACTCCCCCCAAAATTCTTTCTGCTATTCTCAAGCCACCTTTGATTCTAAATGGATTCTCTAGAGTGCTACAGTCTGTTAAGTTCTTCTTGCTCATTCTGGTTCAACTTTTATTTTGGGGAAGCTCCCAGAGTCCACAAAATTCCACAAAAATTAGGGTGCACTCTTCACCAAGCAGACACAAAGCAGCCAGAGAAAATGAAACTACTCAATAAACCAATTTATGGCTCCCAGAACTGTGGCAAGGGAGTCTCTCAGCAGCTGGGATGTGATTAGTGCACAAGGATCAGCAGTTGCAGGGTGACCCACTGGCCCAACCCCACAGAACACACCACACACAAGGAAAGCAGACCCCTGGCTGGAGTCTGAACACCAGATTCTAGCTTGGGACAGACCAGCACTGACTAGTTAGAGGTATGTGCTCAGAACCAAGGCCCACTCACTTCCCTACAGACATGCATTCACTTACTCCACCAGGAAAGGAAAAAAATAAGAGTTAATTTACTTTTTATTGCCTCAGAATTCCAAGGTTTAATGTAGCTGTCAGTTTGAGTGCAGTGCAGCTGCTGGCCGATACAATGCAGCCCAGGCCAGCCCAGGTGACTGGGGAAACACATTTCACAGAAATGAACCAACACACACTCTTGGCTGGCTGGTTGGGGGATATTGACTTGGGGAATCAGATTAACCCTTCAGGCTGGGGTTAGTTCTGCAAATAGCATTAGAAAAGTGGCTTCAGTCCAGAGAATCAAGAAGCCCTGCTCTCAGGTGGGCCAGTGGGTTTCTGTGTTTCTGAAATTTTAGAGTTCTCTCATAGGAGATATTACCCAAATACACATGCCCTGAAAGATTAAGGTGTGAGATATGTGAGGCAAGTTATACCACAATAATCTATCTCCTTGCCTGAAACTCAGGAAGAAAGGCACATCTACCAGCATTATAGAAAACAGAGATGATCTGTTCTGAAAGCTCCAACTGGGGTGGGGCTGAGGAAGATGACAATTTGGAAGGGTCCATCCAGGACTCAGTCTCTTTCTGGAGAGACTAAGAAAGGACTAAGTACTCACACACTAAGGGAACAGGCTGACTGGTGATTAATATCAAGTACAATGACCCCATGTTACAAGCCTGCAGGGGCCTGTGGAGGTGGCCATTTCCTGTGTAATACCAGCTTGTTTAAACACTAACATTCAAACTCCACAGCTGCAGAACAAACCCGGAAAGAGTTGAGTGAGAAGAAGCCCTGCATTGTGTTTCAGAGCTATAGAAGATCAAGCAATAGTACAGATGGGAAAAGAGTTGGGTCTTTTGGTTCCTGGGGTGAAGAGATTTTGAAAAATAGCCAACATGGCACAGAAACTAGGCATAAAGAAGCTGAAAAAGAAAAATTCCACAGACTACAGACTCACAGGGGAAAGACAAAAGACAATAACAACAGAAGTGCTCTTAAGATATTTAACATCTACTTTTAAAAACTTATTTCCCCATGGGAGCTCACAACTCCACTCCTGGTTCCAGCGGCTAACATAAGCACACTGTTGCCCTGGAGGACTTGTCATCTAACTGGA